AGTTGGCCTTACACCCTTCTTCTTAGCCTGACTCACAATTCCTCTCATTCTTTTGGTAGCAATCCTACAGAAATGAGCCCTAGCAAGCTCAGTGATCCCTATGTCCCAATTTTATTTCCCCTATACAATAAAAAACGCAGTTAGGTATTGATCAATAGAAGTATATTAGTTAGGTAATGATCTAGAATGAAACATTACCGCAAAAGTTCAGAAATATAGCTCTTGTTGTGATATGGGCGTCACCGTCCAGCTATAGAAAGGGCCATCAAACTTGCGATGAAATATCCCAGCAATCACACGGGTCAATAGTCCACTATCCCGAGTAAACCTAAGACATGAACATAAAGAGAAGTTAAATACAAACTAACACAGACAATGATGCTAATCATTGTGAAATGAAAACCATTCTATAAGACAGTTGAAACTTGAACCCGATTCCTACTACTAAACCATATGAGAGTACCAGCATATTTCAAGATAAACATCAGTTACATATGCGAATAAACTTACCAAAGCGTATCTGGCTTCGGAACCTCACTGAGGAGGGGTAGTCTCTGTCGTCCTGGAAGAGCCAAAATATTGTCCAAGAGTTGCTGGTCGTCTGCCCCACCTGGTACGTGATAACCTTCCAATTCTTTAGCTTCGTTTTCTTCAACTTACCATCGAGTTCTTCTCCTTCATCGTCGTCATATTCTTCATCTTCACTATCAACGCCAACTTCTGGTTGGTCAAACTGATGGGCTTCCTGTCGTTGATGGCGATTGAGGTTGAGGTTGGGAATTTGGTGATTGGATGGAGCTTGAGACGTTAGGCCAGCAAATGGTACCCTATTCGTTGAGGTTCGGTATTGCAGAGGAATAGATGTTGTTCGAGAAACTGATACAGTCGCCTGAGAGTCTAGAGTACGACGTTATGGGTTAGAGCACTGAGAAGAACCACCGTCGCCGCTTGACCTAGGTCGTTGCAGTGGTGTACCACCGCTATTTCTGGCTGTATCATCTCCGGCGTTGTGTCTCTATGACCATGAGGTTGAACCATCTTCGACCACCGGTGGAAGCTTTCCAAGATCGTCGTCTCTCACCGTACCCTCTCCGCTATTCTGAGGTGGTGGTGCATGTGAGGTCGAAGCATCACCGGCTTTGGCTTTTACAGCAGTAGCGGGTTTGGCATTTGGACCACCAGCGGTTTAGGCATTTGCACCACCACCGGCTTTGGGTTTCACACGACCAAGAGCGCTGGTTGGTCTTCCACCACCCTCAGCGCCGGTTGGTCTTCCACCACCAACAGCGCCGGTTGGTTTTTCACGACGGCCTCGAAAAACTCCTCTGCCTCAACAAACTAATCCGCCTCGCGAAACTCCTCCGCATCAAGAACCTCCTCGGCCTCGTGAACCTTCTCAGGTCACAACCATAGCTTAGGGTTTTCGATTTCGATCTGAATCGAAT